GGGACAAACCCCGCCAGTGTCAGTTCCAGCTCCCTCTCTAGCCTCTTGCATTTCAAGGAAATCACTTATCTTCCAACCCACAAGCAGCCAGAAAGAGCAGATAGTAAAACACAGATAAGACAGCTCGGGCACAGAGGGAAATAGGGGGAAAGTCTCTTGGGTAACTGCCAAACTTCACCCTCATACAATGGGCCCCAGTAAAACAGTGAGGCCTTACTTAATAAGCACATTCCTTTCCCTTCAGGTGCGCTGAAATAGGGAAGCTAAAGGCTGACTTTAGCGGAGGAGAGGAGGGGGGTATGCCTGCAGCTGCAGGAAGATGTATGGGGACAGACACACAACTCTCCCTCCCAGACAAGTATAACAGAGACACAGAAGCAGTCCAAGCCTCTGATAAACTCTCCCTCCCTGAATCAAAAACTCAGTCTGGGCTGAGCAAGGTGGCTCATGCCTGTAATCCCTGCACTTTGGGAGACTGAGGTGGACAGATCATGAGGTAAAGAGTTCGAGACCAGCCTGGTCAACATGGTGAAACCCTGTCTCTACTAAAAATACAAAAATTAGCCGGGCATGGTGGCACACGCCTGTAATTCCAGCTACTAGGGAGGCTGAGGCAGGAGAATCGCTTGAATTCAGGAGGCAGAGGTTGCAGTGAGTCAAAATCCTGTCATTGAACTCTAGCTTGGGAAACAAGAGCGAAACTCTGTCTCAAAAAAAGAAAAATCAAAACCAAAAAAGCAATAAACAGGGCCGGGCACGGTGGCTCACGCCTGTAATCCCTGCACTTTGGGAGGCCAGGGCGGGTGGATCACGAGTTCAGGGGATCGAGACCATCCTGGCTAACATGGTGAAACCCCGTCTCTACTAAAAATACAAAAAATTAGCCATGTGTCATGGCGGGCGCCTGTAGTCCCAGCTACTCGGGAAGCTGAGGAGGCAGGAGAATTGCTTGAACCCAGGAGGCAGAGGTTGCAGTGAGTCAAGATCATGCCATTGCACTCCAGCCTGGGTGACAGAGCAACACTCCGTCTAAAAAAAAAACAAAAAAACCCACCAAAAACCAGAAACAAACAAAAAACCCAAACACAAAAAAATCTGGGCCAGGCACGGTGGCTCACGCCTGTAATCCCAGCACTCTAGGAGGCCGAGGCCAGTGGATCACAAGGTCAGGAGATTGAGAACATCCTGGCTAACATGGTGAAACCATGTTTCTACTAAAAAATACAAAAAAACTAGCCGGGCGAGGTGGCAGGTGCCTGTAGTCCCAGCTACTCGGGAGGCTGAGGCAGGAGAATGGCGTAAACCCAGGAGGCAGAGCTTGCAGCGAGCGGAGATCCAGCCACTGCACTCCAGCCTGGGCGACAGAGCGAGACTCCGTCTCAAAAAAAAAAAAAAAAAGTAATAAGAAATAAAGAACAAAGCTACCATGACCCAAGATTGGACCCTTGGGTCTTTATAGGAATCACTTTTTTCGCGGGCAGGGATGGCGGTAGGGTCTCCCTCTGTCATCCAGGCTGGAGTGCAGTGGCATGATCACAACTCACTACAGCCTGGAACTCCTGGGCTCAAGTGATCTTCCTACCACAGCCTCCCAAAGTGCTGGGATTCCAGATACGAGCCACCAGCCTTGCCTTTTAAAAAAATTATTTGGGCTGGGCATGGTGGCTCATGCCTGTAATCCCAGCACTTTGGGGGGCCAAGGCAGGTGGATTATTTGAGGTCAGGAGTTGGAGACCAGCGTGGCCAACATGGTGAAACTCCATCTCCACTAAAAATACCAAAAAACTAGCTGGGTGTGGTGGTGCATGTCTGTAATTCCAGCTACTTGGGAGGCTGAGGCAGGAGAATCACTTGAACCCAGGCGGAACCCAGGCGGAAGTTGCAGTGAGCCAAGATCAAGCCACTGTACTCCAGCCTGGATGACAGAGACAGAGTCCGTCTGAAAATAAATTAAATAAATAAATTGGAGAGAATACGAGTCACTTTGTCTGCTTCTCCACCTCCCTAGCGAAGCTCTCTATGGCATAAAGCTTGAAGGAATGTGGTCCACCTAAGCCCTGACTCCGAAACCTTTTTCCATTGAGTTCCCCCATCTCCTAGGAGATGCTTGTCACGGCCAGTAGCTCTGCCAGGTTACAAAGCTCGTGCCAGGAAGGGCAAATGCCAGCCTGACTGCCCAGTGGCTCTCCAGGGCTGACTCGGGGCTGCAGAGCGGAGGCTGGTATGAGTCTCTTGTGGCTGCTGAAACAAATGACCAGAAACAGAGCAGCTTACAGCAACACAGACTCATGATTTTACAGCACTGGAGGTCAGATGTCCTAAAATTAAGGCGTTGATGAGGCTGGTTCCTCCTGGAAGCTCCATTTACAGCCTTTCCCAGCTTCTAGAGGTACCCACAGCTCTCATCTTGGGGCCCCTTCCTCCACCTTCACAGCTAGCAGCACGGCCTCTTCCAGTCTCTTTCTGACGGTGACCCTCCTGCCTCCTCCCTTTTTTTTTTTTTTTTCTCTGAGACAGAGTCTTGCTCTATAGCCAAGGCTGGAGTGCAGTGGCTCCATCTAGCAGCAACCTCTGCCCCCCGAGTTCAAGCGATTCTCCTGCCTCAGCCTCCCAAGTAGCTGGGATTGCAGGCATGCGCCACCACGTCCAGCTAATTTTGTATTTTTAGTAGAGACAGGGTTTCTCCATGTTGGACAGGCTGGTCTTGAACTCCCAACCTCGTGATCCGCTTGCCTCAGCCTCCCAAAGTGCTGGGATTACAGGCATGAGCCAGAGAGACCAGCTTTTTTTTTTTTTTTTTTTTGAGACAGAGTCTTGCTCTGTAGCCAAGGCTGAAGTGCAGTGGCTCAATTTCAGTGCACTGCAACCTCTGCCTCCACCCCCCCACCCGAGTTCAAGCAATTCTCCTGCCTCAGCCTCTCAAGTACAACTGGGACTACAGGCATGTGCCACCACGCCTGGCTAATTTTTGTATTTTTACTAGAGTTGGGGTTTCACCTTGTTGGCCAGACTGGTCTCAAACTCCTGGCATCAAGGGATCTACCTGCCTTGGCCTCCCAAAGTGCTGGGATTATAGGCATGAGCCACTGCAACCAGCCCCTGCTAATTTTTATTTTTTATTTTTTGATATGAGTCTCGCTCTGTCACCAGGCTGGAGTGCAGCGGTGCAATCTCGGCTCACTGCAACTTCCACTTCCCGGGTTCAAGCGATTCTCCTCCCTCAGCCTCCTGAGTAGCTGGGACTACAGGCACATGCCAACACACCCAGCTAATTTTTGTATTTTTACTAGACACGGGGTTTAACCATGTTGGCCAGGATGGTCTTGATCTCTTGACCTAATGATCCGCCCACCTTAGCCTCCCAGAATGTTGGGATTACAGGCGTGAGCCACCGCGCCAGGCCCCAGCTAATTTTTAAAAATATTTTGTAGAGGCCGGGCGTGGTGGCTGAAGCCTGTAATCCCAGCACTTTGGGAGGCCGAGACAGGCAGATCACGAGGTCAGGTGATCGAGACCATCCTGGCTAACATGGTGAAACTCCGTCTCTACTAAAAAAAATACAAAAAACTAGCCGGGCGAGGTGGCAGGCGCCTGTAGTCCCAGCTACTTGGGAGGCTGAGGCAGAAGAATGGCGTGAACCCGGGAGGCGGAGCTTGCAGTGAGCTGAGATCCGGCCACTGCACTCCAGCCTGGGCGACAGAGCGAGACTCCGTTTCAAAAAAAAATACATATTTTGTAGAGACTGTGTCCTGCTGTGTTGTCCAGGCTGGTCTCAAACTCCTAGGCTCAAGCGATCTTCCCTCCTCGGCATCCCAAAGTGATGGGATTACAGGTGTGAGCCACCGTATCTGGCCAAGGGGGCATTATTTTACCTACCACAGCATCCGTGGGGGCCAAACTCATAAGATGGGGGGGTCCACGGGAAACTTCCTGAGCGAGGTGATGTGTGGGTTTAGTTCTGGAAGACTGCAGGGCTGGTGGGGGTTTGTGCTATGTGGGAAGAGGATTCCAGGCCAAGAGAACAGAGTCCATAGAACAGCAGGCTCCTAAATACCTACCCCAAATACCTACCCTGGCCGTGCCTGGAGAGAGAGTTGGCTGTCACCGCTTAGGTGGGGGTGGTGAGGCGGGGCCGGCGGTGGGCTGCCAGAGAGCTGCTAAATAATCTAGAATGCACAGGACCACCCCCTACCAGGAAGAATCAGCCAGCGGGTAGCCTAGAGGGTGAGAATGCTTCTGTCCTCATCCGTCTGGACTCAGAGGGGGTTTCCCAGCAGGGGCAGCTGGAAGGTGTTTACTGGGTGACCTTTGGCCTTTCTACCCCTGCCCCCACCCCCCACCCCGTCTCCTGCTTTTCTTGGGAAAAGCTGATTTTAGTTCCTGGTGACCCTTGGCCTCCTCAGGGAACAGAAGCATTTGTGTGGGCTGATGGCTTCTACCTCTGGAATGTGACTGCTCGGCCTGACCCGAGCCCTGGAGGACAAGGGATCTAAGAATAGTGATGTTTTTCTCCCCACCCCTAGGCCTGGCCCGCTCTGGCCTCCGGATCCCATGCCCCTCGCTGTGCTGGAAGAGGTGGTCAGGCAGACAATGTCTGAGGGAAACGTCTCGAGCCTGTGCTGGTCACTGGGCTGGAAAGGAGCTGGTTCGTTCATGGGGCACAGGGCAGAGATGACGGGATTTGCGGAGGAGGGGTTGGGTTGGGGTGGTGGGTCTGCACCTTGCCAGCACCTCGCACCCCAGGCCTGCCCTATTCTCCCTACAGCTTCTTGTCCCTGCTGCCTCTGAAGGACTTATGTCACGGATCCCCTCATTGGCCACCCCTTGGAGTTGGCAGGTTCTCCTTGGGCTGGAGCAGGAGTGGAATGCCTCTCTTGCCGACTGGAAAAGGGACCCCAAGCTTGGGAGGCCTGATCCAGTGGGGCAAGGGCCCTGGTGCCAGTGCCGGAGAGGGACTGGTCCCTGGGGGCCTCGTGTCTGCTGGGATGTCATAAACCCACCTGGTGTCCTCAAGACAGGCCCTTGAAGGTAGGGCTCACTGCTTGTTCATCCGGTCCGCAAGCTTCGACTGCCTCATGGGTGCCAGGCCCCCCATGCGGGGCACTGGGGATGCCAAGGGGGACAGATCCCCGCTTCCTTCCTGAAGGAGCCTGCAGTGACCCAGGAGAGCAGGGCTCACATTTGCTGATGTCTCAGTCAAGAGCCGGGCCCTGCACTGGATGCGGGAGCTGTGGTTGAGGGCAAAGCAGCTGCATTTCTGGGGGACAAGGTAGGGAGACATCAGCCACAGGAAGGGAAGGCAGCAGGGATCTGGGTAAAGAAAACCCCAGGGGCCGGGTGCCAGTGGCTCATGTCTGTAATCCCAGCACTTTGGGAGGCCAAGGCCGGTGGATCACTTGAGATCAGGAGTTCAAGACCAGCCTGGCCAACATAATGAATCCCTGTGTCCACTAAAAAAAAAAAAAAAAAAAAAAATTTAAAAATTAGCCGGATGTGGTGGCACATGCCTATAATCCCAGCTACTCAGGAGACCGAGGCAGGAGAATCGCTTGAATCTGGGAGGCGGAGGTTGCAGTGGACTGCACTCCATCCTGGGCGACAGAGCAAGCCTCTGTCACTAAAAACAGACAAACAAACCCGGGTGCAATGGTATAAAGAGGGGGACGAGGAAAGAAAGTTTGTGTCCAGGGAAGCCCCTGCACCCTGGAGGGTGGAGGCTAGTTTCAGGGTTTGGTTGTCCCTCCCACGGGGGCCCACCCAATCCCACTGCTGGCTCCTGCCCTCTACCTGATGTGGCTGCAACTGCTCTGGCCAGCCGGGTGATTTCCATGTGACCCCTCCCCAAGCCTGAGCCCCGTGAGTCAGCAGTGTGGGTAACAAGGGCCACCCGAGGTCCTCTGCTCACCCTGCTGAAACCCCGTGGGCTGTAGCACAGTCATGCGTCCCCCGGGGTGCACCCCAGTAAGACAGAAGCACATCAGGTACTGAATGGGAATGAGGATGGAACACAGATGAAACCACTGAGACTGGGCGGTGGTTCATGCCTGTAATCTCAGCCCTTTGGGAGGCCGAGGTGGGCAGATCTCTGTCGCCCAAGAGTTTGAGACCAGCCTGACCAACAAGGTGAAAACCCTGTCCTTATTGAAAATAAAAAAATTAGCCGGGTTTGGTGGCACATGCCTGTAATCCCAGCTACTCGGGAGGCTGAGGCATGAGAATCGCTTGAACCTGGCAGGCGGAGGTTGCAGTGAGCCGAGATCGTGCCATTACACTCCAGCCCAGCCTAGGTGACAGAGCAAGAATGTCTCCAAAAAAAAAAAAAAAGACTAATATGGCCGGGCGCGGTGGCTCACGCCTATAATCCCAGCACTTTGGGAGGCCGAGGCGGGCGGATCATGAGGTCAGAAGATCGAGACCATCCTGACTAACACGGTGAAACCCCATCTCTACTAAAAATACAAAAAATTAGCTGGGCATGGTAGGTGGTGGGCACCTGTAGTCCCAGCTACTAGGGAGGCTGAGGCAGGAGAATGGCGTGAACCCGGGAGGCGGAGCTTGCAGTGAGCCAAGATTGCACCACTGCACTCCAGCCTGGGCGACACAGCGAGACTCTGTCTCAAAAAAAAAAAAAAAAAAAGATGAATACATCCCTTTTCCCTAGCTGTTTCTTCCTCTCCCACCTGGACCTGAAGCCACCGCTTTAACTGCACCATTTAGAGTGTCCCTGTCTCCCCAAATTCAAGCCTCTTAAGCCTCAGGCCCTTGATTGGATGGAGTACCCACAGATGTCACCATAAACCCACGATCTCCCACCCAGCTGGGCTCCTCCCCTTCCCCAGAGCAGCCCTTTGCTGTAAAATGGGGCTAACAGAACTGAATAGGCTGTTACTGTGAGGATTTGAGGGTATCAGTACAGTGCTTGGCCCAGGGCTCGGGAGCCACTACTACTCTACAGGGTCACAGGCCTCCTGACCGTAACTCCTATGGGTGCATGATTTACCGGGCCAACCTGAGTGCTGGGCATTTAGGTAGTTTCCAACCAGAAGGTAACTTATTAAAGATCCTAAGACACGTCCTCCTGCAGGCAGCCCTTCCACAGGTGGCTTAGGGGTAATTTTCAGTGGTATAATCACAAGCTCAGACTATGAACCCTCTTTTTTTTTTTTTTTTTTTTGAGATGGAGTCTCATTCTGTTGCCCAGGCTGGAGTGCAATGGCACGATAGGCTCACTGCAACCTCCACCTCCCAGGATGAAGCGATTCTCATGCCTCAGCCTCTCCAGTAACCAGGATTACAGGTGTGCTAATTACTGCCATGCCCAGCTAATTATTATATTTTTAAAGAGCTACTGAGCGCGAACTCCTGATCTCAGGTGATCCGCCTGCCTCAGCCTCCCAAAGTGCTGGGATTACAGGCAGGAGCCACTGGGCCCGACCTTTTTTTTTTTTTTTTTTTTTTTCCCATAGAGACAGGTTCTTGCTATGTTGCCCTGGCTGGTCTTGAACTCCCGGACTCAAGCAATTCTCCTCCTGCCTCAGCCTTCCAAAGTGCTGGGATTACAGGCGTGAGCCACCACGCCTGGTCTATGAACCCTCTTATATGCTGGGTATGCATTATCCAAAGGGTCTCTCCAATTGAAATGGCAGCCACCCCTTTGGAAAGCAAGTGTTGAGGTCCTGGCAGCATTGGAATGATCCTTGCTGTGACCAACCCTGGGCCAATAGGCCCTCCCCTGATGCCCAATACATCCACTCTTAGGCTCCTAGACTCCCCTTCTCTTTCTGGGAATTGTCTGTTTCTGATCTTTGCACCTTTGGTGCTTATCAATTTGCATGAGCTTTTAATAGACTGATAACACCTGGTGCTACAGTTTCAATGTTCGTTCCCTCCAAAACTCACGGTGAAACTTAATCCTCGATGTAGCAGTCAGTGTCGACAGAGGTGGGGCCTTTAAGGGGTGAGTGGGTCATGAGAATTCTGGCCTCATGAACAGATCAATCCATTCATGCGTTAATAGATCCACAGGTTAATAGATAATGGGTTATCATAGGAGGGCAACTGGTGGCTTTGAAAGAATAGGAAGAAGGGGCTGGGTGCACACGCCTGGAATCCCAGCACTTTGGGAGGCTGAGGTGGGTGGATCACAAGGTCGGAAGATCGAGACCACCCTAACACGGTGAAACCCTGTCTCTACTTTAAAAATACAAAAAATTAGCCGGGTGTGGTGGTGGCAGTGAGCCGAGATCACACCACTACACTTGCCGCAACCTCCGCCTCCTGGGTTCAAGCAATTCTCAGGTCATCAGCCCCCCTCAGCCTCCCAACAGGCTAAGATTACAGGGGTGAGACACTGCACCCTGCCAACCCCCAGCTAATTTTTATTTTATTTTTATTTTTTGATATGGAATTTTGTGTCGCCCAGGCCGGAGTGAAAGTGGCGCGATCTTGGCTCACTGCAACCTCTGCCTCCCAGGTTCAAGCAATTCTCCTGCCTCAGCCTCCTGAGTAGCTGGGACTACAGGCTCTCGCCACCATGCCCCGCTAATTTTTGCATTTTTAGTAGAGACGGGCTTTCATCGTGTTGGCCAGGCTGGTCTCAAGCTCCTGACCTCAGGTGATCAGCCTGCCTTGGACCATCAATGTGCTGGGATGACAGGCATGAACCACCCCGCCCAGGCTTGATTTTTCAAAGATGTTTTAAAGTTAGAGTCTTGCTATGTGGCCTAAGGGAACTCCCCGCCTCAAGTAACCCTCCTGACTTAGCCTCCGGCATAGGATGAAATTATATTCAACCCTAAAAAGGAATGAAGTACTAACTCCTTCTACAATAGCACATGAACCTTAAAAACATGCTCAGTGAAAGAAACCAGACACAAAATAATTCACTGGATAAGATTCCATTTGTATGAAGTATCCAGAGTAGAAAAATCCGTGGAGTCAGGAAGTAGACTAGTGGGTTCCAGAAATGGGGAATGACAAGCTAATGGTTACAGGGTTTCTTTATGGGGTGATGAAAATATTCTGGAGACCAGGCATGGTGGGTCACACCTGTAATCCCAGCACTTTCGGAGGCCGAGATGAGTAGATCACTTGAGGTCAGGGGTTTGAGACCAGCATGGCCAACACGGCGATACTGTCTCTACTAAAATACAAAAATTAGCTGGCCGTGGTGACACACACATGTAGTCCCAGCTACTTGGGAGGCTGAGGCGGGAGCATCACTTGAACCCAGGAGGTGGAGGTTGCAGTGAGCCAAGATTGTGCCATTGCACTCTAGCCTGGGTGACAGAATGAGACTCCATCAAAGAAAGAAAGAGAAAGAGAGAGAGAGGGAAAGAGGGAAGGAAGGAAGGAAGGAAGGAAGGAAGGAAGGAAGGAGAAAGCAAGAGAAAGAAGAAAGAGAGAGAGAAAGAAAGAGAGAGAAAGAAAGAAAAAGAGAGAAAAAGAGAAAGAGAGAAAGAAAAAAAAGAGAAAGAGAAAGAAGAAAAAGAAAGAGAAAGAGAAAGAAGGAAAGAAAAAGAAAGAGAAAGAAAGACGAGAGAAAGAAAAAAGAGAAAGAAAAAGAAAGAAAGAAAAAAGAAAGGAAAGAGAGAAAGAAAGAAAAAGAGAGAAAGAAAAAGAAGAGAACGAAAGAAAAAGAAAGAAAGAAAGAAAGAAAAAGGAATGGAAGGGTTATAGTTAGGATCCAGAAAGTGAACTCTGGAAAACGTCCCAAGCTGGCTCAGGCCAGTGACCTGTGTTATCTTGCGTGTGGTGTTAGAGAGGCTGCAATTCTGTGACAAGCAGTGGAGAGGTCTGTGCTGCCCTCTGGGTCACTGACCCCCATGCTGTTTACTGGACTGCCACCAAGAAGGTGCGTTAAGTGCCCTGCTGGGTTCCTGCTTTAAACAGGCTTTTGAGGTGGTGGCACCAGTACTGCCTGCCTTGTACAAATAAACAAACTGCGGCTGGGGAAAGTTAAGTAATTCCTAAAGTCAAGCATGGTGGCCAGGCGCGGTGGCTCACACCTGTAATCCCAGCACTTTAGGAGGCTGAGGCAGGTGGATCATTTGAGATCAGGAGTTCTCGACCAGACTGCCCAACATGGTGAAACCCCATCTCTGCTAAAAATACAAAAAAATTAGCCGGGTATGGTGGTGGGTGCCTGTAA